AGCTGGATCCACAGGCTTGATCAGCAAGACTCTTTTATAGACTGAACCTGTCTTATTATTAACTAGCTTTTAAAAAAATGTTTTTCTAACTTGTTTCTAAAATTATTATTCCCTGTAGAAAAACACAAAAATAAAAAGATATGTTTGCCTTTGAATTATTTCATACATAAATATTCATGCCAGGTTATAGACAGTATCCTTTATCATTAAAATTTGCCCTCTTTAGACTTTTCAGAGCCCTAATGGCAAAGCAGTTAAGAGCTGGGCTGCAAATTGAAAGGTCGGCAGTTCGAATCCACCAGCTGCTCATTGGAAACTACAGGGCAGTTCTACTCTGCCCTATAGGGTCACCATGAGTCCGAATCGACTCGACAGTAATGGGTTTGGTTTGGGTTTTAGACTTTTCAATTTTTTGCCTTGAATTCACCCTGCCTATTATTAATATTGGGGCCCTGGTGGCGCAGTGGTTAAGCATTTGGCTGCTAACCCAAAGGTTGGCAGTTCGAATCCACCAGCTGCTCCTTGTAATCCTATTCTATTCTGTCCGATAGGGTTGCTATGGGTCAGAATTGACTTGACAGCAATGGATTTGTTTGCTTTTTTTATTATCAATATTACCTCCTTCATTTTTTATTGCAATTGTCTGTTATGTCTTTGCCCATCCTTTTATCATCACCCTTACTCAGCTTTAGGTGTTCCTCTTATATAGAGCATCATATGATTAGGTTTTGTTTTTTGGTTTAACCTGAGATTCTTTTCCTTTTACTAGGTGTATTTATCCCATTTGTATTTACTCACACTTGGTTCTGTTACCTTGTTTATGTTGGATTCTGTTTTTAAAATTAGAAATTTTGTTTTTAAACCTTTGGCAATATGATCTATGCATTCTTCGTGTTTTCCTTCTGATAACTGGTAGGTTTATAGTCTGTTTTTAGTTCTTATAATAGCTATCCTTATATCTTTTTTTATAATATATTTAAACTACTGTTTCTTGTAATGTCACCTTTATACAATGCCAACTGACTCTTCTACATGAAAGATGGGGAAGTTAGTATATTCTTAAATTCTTCCCACTTTTCTACCATCCAATTCTGACTGGTTACATTAATATTTTTAGTTCCTCTATTGGTTAGTTTTATATCTTTTAAAGAACATAATTAACACTTTATAGCTTGATTTAACAGCTTTAAAGTATCTATCGATCTCTGTGTTAGTTTCTTAGGACTGTTGTAAGAAATTATCACAAACTAGGTGGCTTATAACAACAGAAGTTGATTCTCTCACAGTTCTAGAGGCCAGAAATCAGAAATCAAGGTGTTGGTGGATGGTGTTCTCTCTGAAGGCAGTAGGGTAGATCCTTCCTTGCCTTTTCCTAGCTTCTGGTGGCTTACAGCAATCCTTGGCATTCCTTGGCCTGTAGCTGCATCACTCCAATCTCTGCCTCTGTCTTCACACGGCCTTCTTGCCTAGTTGTTAATGAGTCTTCTGCCAATCCATAACAACATCTTTCTGGTATTCTCTACTTTCAACCAAGATCCATCTGACATCAGCAATGGTATCCCTCGTTCCACACCCTCTTCTGAATCCACTTTGAATTTCTGGCAGTTCTGTGTCGATGTATTGCTACAATCATTTTTTGAATTATCTTCAGCAAAATTTTACTTGCGTGTGATACTATTGATATTGTTCGACAATTTCTGCATTCTGTTGGATCACCTTTCTTTGGAATGGGCGCAAATACGGATCTCTTCCAGTTGGTTGGCCAGTTCTTAATCCTATGCTACCTCCTGAAATGGATGAATGTTGACCAATTCTTTTGATACAGTGATTCTGTGTATTCCTTCCAACTTCTTTTGATGCTTCCTTCATTATTCAATACTTTGCCCGTAGAATCCTTTAATATTGCAACTCGAGGCTTGAGCTTTTTCTTCAGTTCTTTCAGCTTGAGAAATGCTGAGCGCTTGCTTCCCTTTTAGTTTTCTAACTCCAGGTCTTTCCATATTTCATTACAATACTTTACTTTGCCTTCTCAAGCCATCCTTTGAAATCTTCTGTTCAGCTATTCATCACTTCTTCCATTCACTTTAGCTACTCTATATTCAGAGCAAGTTTCAGAGTCTCTTCTGACATCCCTTTTGGTCTTCTCTTTCCTGTCTTTTTAGTGACCGTTTACTTTCTTCATGTACAATGTCCTTGATGTCATCCCACAACTCATTCTCATGAATTTAATTTTCTTTGCTTCACCTTGAGCTTGAATATGAGCAACTGAGAGCCTGTTCTGCAGTTGGGCCCTGGCCTTGTTCTTATGGATGATATTGAGCTTCTCTATGGTCTTTTTCCACAGATGTAGTTGATTTGATTTCTGTGTTTTCCATCGGGTGAGGCCCACATGCGAAGTAACCGTTTATGTTGTTGAAAAAAGGAATTTGCAGTGAATAAATCTTTGGTCTTGCAAAATTCTATCACGTAATCGCCAGCGTTGTTTCTATCATCAAGGCCATATTTTCTATCTACCGGTTCTTCTTCATTTCCAACTTTCACATCCAATCACCAGTAGTTATCAATGCATCCTGATTGCATGTTTGATCAATTTCAGACTGCAAAAGTTGGTAAAAATCTTCAATTTCTTCATTTCTGGCATTAGTGGTTAGTGTGTAAATTTGAATAATAGTCGTATTAACTGGTCTTCCTTGTAGGCACATGGATATTATCCTATCACTGACAGCGTTGTACTTCAAGATAGATCTTGAAATGTTGTTTTTGACAATGAATGCAATGCCATTTCCCTTCAATTTGTCATTCCTGGCATAATAGGACCATACGATTTTCTGATTCAAAATGGTCAATACCAGTCCATTTCAGCTCACTAATGCCTAGGATATTGATCTTTATGCACTCCATTTCATTTTTGATGACTTCCAATTTTCCTAGATTCATACTTTGTACATTCCACATTCCGATTATTAATGGATGTTTGCAGCTGTCTCTTCTGAGTTGTGCCACATCAGCGAATGAAGGTCTTGAAAGCTTTACTCCATCCACGTAATTAAGATCAACTCTATTTTGAGTAGGCAGGCTGTTCTCCAGTCGTATTTTGAGTGTCTTCCAACTGAGGGGCTCATCTTCAGGCACTACTATCAGACAATATTCCGCTGCTATTCATAAGGTTTTTACTGGCCAATTTTTTTTTAGAAGTAGATTGCCAGGTCCTTCTTCCTAGCCTGTCTTAGTCTGGAAGCTCTGCTAAAACCTGTCCACCATGGGTGACCCTCCTGGCAATTGAAATACCAGTAGCATAGCTTCCAGCATCACAGCAATATGCCAGCCACCACAGTACAACAGACAGACGAGCGGTAGAGTCAAGTGCTTAGTTTTTAAAAATTTAACTCCATTCAGTTTTTGAGGACAAAATTCACAATGTACATATAAAGGGTTCCCAAAGAAAACAAGTTCTCTTCTTCCTCAGCCACCTAGCACCCCTCCCTGGAGGCTACCACAGTTATCAGATTTTTACATCTTTTTCCAAAGATCTGCTGAATCTGATAACCATGGTTGCCTCCAGGGAAGGGAACTGGGTGGCTGAGGAGGAGTAAATATGTGTGTATATTTTTTCCCATAAATAGTGGCATACTATACACACAGTTCTGTGCCTTGTTTTTTTCACTTAAGCTCTTTTTAATTTTGGTAAATCTTACTTCTTCGTTAAGACCTTCCCTAATACCTTGCCATCCCAACGCTCCTCATGCCACCCCGCTCCTTCTCCTTCTCTGAACTATGAAAGCTCCTTTGTTTGAATAACAGAGGTGGCATATACAACACAGGACTTATATTCTTATTTTTTTCTTCATATATATGAAAAGATAGCATAATGTAGAAACTAAGGGCAAGGGTTTTAGAGCCAGGCAAACCAGAGTTTGAATTTTGGACTCCACTAATTACGAACGGTGACATTAGGCAAACTGCTCAACCTTCTCTCTGAGCCCAAATTCCCTCCTCTGTTAGATAAGAACAGTAACACTGAACTCCAGGTTGTCAGTAAACTGCTCATAATAGGGCCTACACATAGTGACAACTCATTAAATGCAACCTATCACCAACACTGCCATCATCATCATTGTCAGCTGAGCATCAGTCTGAGGATGGGACTTATACGTGTACACCAAGTGGCATGGACTGATCCATCCTTCAGACAGATAGTGGGGCCTGTGACAAGTAGGCCTCAACTATATCAACCAGCGGGAAGCTAAGTCATGTGACTCCCAAATCCATGGCTTAGATGAGTGGCAATCACTAGTTTGAAGGCAATTTCTAGGTCTCCTGGCCCCCTGCCTCTGGTCTGTGGCAGATGTTACTGATACTTCCTCTCACCAATGACACTTAGGAAAAAAGTATTCAAAAACTATAAAGACTGAATCTGACCTTACAAATCCATCTGGATGCATTCCATTCAAGAACAGGGAATAGGGATTAGGAGTGCTCAAGACAACGGTCACATGTTACAATGGGGAAAGGGCACATACAAAGACTGTGCAATGTGCCTGGGACCATGGACTGGCAGGAGCTAGGTCTCACCAGCTGAGCCAAAACCTACTTCCTAAGTGCTTACGGACCATTTTGGGTCTACTTGCTCCTTAGCTCTGAGACATGGGCCCTACTCTTCTCAGATACCTGTTAGTGCTCCAAAGCTATTATGTCAAACTTAGGTAGATATGGCTCGTTTGCCTGCGTACAGGGCTTGAGAGATCTCTAAGAATTCGAAGGCGTTTCCTCAATGGCTTTCTCCTGACACCCAAGTGGTGAGTGTGGCTCCTCCTCCTCCTCTGGTCACCTGGTGAAAGGTACACTAGCTGTCTCAGCTCCCCTGGGCCATGGAGGTATCTCTGAGTCCTCCCTCTCCTCCCACACATCATCCCTCACCAAGGCCTGGGGAGTACTAAACAGCTCTGAGAGCCATGTTCCACTCTCAACCCCTCTACCACTTGCCTCATCCAGACCACTACTCTCCCTTCAGTAGGTCACTGCTCAGTCTCTCTACTTCCAGGCTTCCTTTTCTGCAATTTATTCTTCCCACTGCAGTCAGAATGATCTTTCAAAAACATAACACTGGTCATGTGATTTCCCTTAGAATATTCCAATGGGTTCCAATTACTCTTGGCTTGGCCTGACCTATCTGCCACACCTTATTTCCTAAAGATCCTGTGCATGCTCTAGTCATCATCAGGCCTCCAATCTTACTGTTCCTTCTGCCTGGAACCATCTTTCCCCTTCTTTTTGTTGGGCCAACTCCTCTTCGGGTGTGGACAATTTGAATAGTACCTCCTCTGGGAGGCCTTCCCTAACGCTCTGAGACTGAGCTAGAGCAGGCATTGGATAAAGATTTGCTGAATAAATGAACGAATGGACCAAGTGTAATAAGACACTTGCAAGCTGACCTCTGAGGCAGCTGCCCAAGTAGCTAAGTTGGGGGTACCCACATGCCAAAATTTCTCCTATGGATAACTCTGCACAAATTCTACTCCATCAGACAGTCATCTGAAAATGTTTCTCAGACTTATGTTTGTATTTTAATGTGTTTTTAAACAATTTTTTAATTGGTAAATACATATTTTTGGTACAAAATTCATAAGGTACAAAATGGTATTCAGTAAAAAGCTCTCTCACTTCTTCCTCCCCTAGCACCCTGGGCTCTGCTTCTCCTCCCCAGAGGCAACCACTGATAACCAGCTTTTGGGTGTTTTTCCTTGGACAGTCTGGGCACTTTCAAGTATATAGGAATATACAAAATCACGTTTTCTTAAGAGCTTCTCCCACACATAAAACCTCTATCCTCAAGGTCTCTTTGTATGGCCTAGCTGTGGTAATAGCACATGACTAAAGGAATTCAAATGGAGAATACTTCAGCATCTTGTTTATTCTATTTTAAAACGGTTCCTCGCATGTTCTTTCTGTTTAGAAGCTTAAACATTAAGACGGACCTTCCTCAGTCACAGTGCCAGGGAAGCCTCCTAAGGGGACGTTGGTGGTGCCTGTGCTCCCATTCCCATTTGGAAAGGTCACGCTCGAGGCTGCAGGGGAGGTAGGGAGGCCAGTCGGAAGAGCCTGCTGCCAGAACCCCATGGCCTGGTGCAGCCACAGGAAGTGACTGGGGGCCTTGAAACTGAGTAAGGTGAGGTCAGGAGCCCAGGCTCAGAATGCGGCACAGTAGGGAAGCAGGCAGCATCCTAGACGGCTCAGCAGATTCCGGAGGTGGCAGACACGGGATCCAGATCCTGCAAAAAGCTTCTGAGATTCCCAGGGGTGGAAGCCAAGAATGGTTGTGGTGAATCTTGCAGTGAGAAGCCAGGAAAGGCTGAGTGAAGGCCTATAGAAGCCTTGAGATTCTCATTTGGTAAATTCTTGGGCAAACAAAACTGCAGAGCCAGACTAATGCAAACATGCTAACTTAAGCGGTGCACCGCTGGGTCACAAGCACAGGCCAGGCCTGTCCAAGAGAGGGCTGGGATCTGGTCTCTGACAGACAGCTTGCCCAAAGTCCTATCTGCAGCACGAGTACCTTGTGGGCAAATCCTGTGGGGTTGGGATTCTAGGTCAGGAACTGGGCAGAGAAAAGGGGCTTTGCATTGCAGGGAAACAAGCAAGAGGATTATCCCCAGCATTCTTTAGACCAGCTAAGTAAACTGCCACCTGCCAAGAGGAAATGCCATCTATGAGGCAGGTATGACAGTTATCTGGAACACAGGGTGAAGAGGCCAGGGTAGGCGGTTTCATCTTGTTTGGGCTTGAAGCTTCCTTCTGTTCTTTATCAAGGAGTGGATACCCAGATTTGGCCAAGGTCTCACCAGACAGTCTGTGAGTAAGCAGGCAGCCTGACCTGGCCCATTCCCAAGAGTAGAGAAACATCCCCAAGGTCTGTCAGACCATCCAAGGGCTAAAGGCTTTCAGCATCCCAAGAGAAAACAAAATTCACTTCTTTTGCCTATCTACAGATACTTTTAAAATCAGGGCATGGCAGTAAAATAGCTTCACCGCTTTTAAGCCAGCGTTATAATGAGACTTGCTTGCTGTTTAAGCACTGACATTATTTCCCAGTCTTCAGATTTCTGTAAGACACATCATCTGGGGCCTGCAACATAGTCTTTTTCTCACTGTAGAATACAGTAGTCCCCCTTATCTGTGGTTTTGACTTCTGTGGTTTCAGTTACCCCCTGGTCAACCATGGTCCGAAAATGTTAAACGAGTAGCGTGACGAAATCTTGCGCGCCTACTCTGTCCCGCCCAGGGACCATATTCACATAACTTTTATTACAGTATATTATTATAATTGTTCTATTTGATTATTAGTTATTGTTGTTAATCTCTTACTGTGCCAATTTATAAATTAAACTTTTTTTTATCATAGGTACGTATGAATAGGTCCAAACATAGTAGTATACATAGGGTTTGGTACAATCCGTGGTTTCAGGCATCCATGGTTTCAGGCATCCACAAGGGGCTTGGAACATATCCCCCACGGATAAGGGGGACTACTGTAATCCTTTGTTGTTAAAAGTAACAAATCAGGGAGCCTGACTCATGAAGGGGGCAAGGGGAGGCAATAAACTCCCTCTGGACTTGAAGTGCTTATCTACTGGCGGCAGACTTCGCCTCCAAGTGAGCCATCGAATCTCCTAGGAAAAAAGAAAGACTTGCCTTTATCTCCTCCTTCCCAGATAGCTCATGCCTATGTGAGCCAGGTCAGGCTAGTCCATAGGTTCCTGGGCCCAGATGCAGGGGGAAGATAGTTAGCAAGACTATATTGACTGGACCTCCCGTGGAGTTCAGAAAACAGCACATATGGCCTCAAGGGCATCTGCCACAGCTCATCACACCCTTGGTTTTATACAAGCTCAGAATCTGACAACAAGTCACCTTTGAACAATGAGTTAGAAGGCAGTGTTAATGAAACGTGCCTACCAAGTGCCAGAGAGAACGTCGTCTGTGTTGGTAAAAGGGATCAGGCTAAAAGGGGCTTTTCTCTTGGCCTGTCCCAGGTTCATGGACAGTGAAGACACAGCACTTCCTCAAGGCTCTTTTGTTCCAGGGCAGCCTGACCACCTGTGCTTATCCTAAATGCAGAAAAGCAGACGGGCACTGAGGGCGAAAGTACTGAGGAGCCAAGGGTGGGCTTAGCAATTATCATCTGCTACATAAGGGGCTCTGAAGGGAAAAGAGGGCATCAACATTTACAAGAGTAAGACAGGGCCTAGCATTGGACAATTCAGCGAAATCCCAGGCACAACTACTGGCCAGTACCGTCAGTGAGACTAACAGGCAAACACTTCCTCAACTTTCCCTCCCACCACTTCCTCTAAGTCAACCTTCACTCCCAGTCTGAGCTCAGGATCCCACTCGTCCCCTCCTCAGGCCCCCACTCCATCAAGCCTAGGGTCTCCCTCTAGCCTACAGGCTTTCTCCTCAACAAATAAGGATGTGCATATCTTTCCCTCTTGGAAATTATTCCCCTCTAGCTACCATTCTTCTTTGCACAGCCCCACACACCCTAAAACAACATCCACATTTGCTGGCTCCAGTTCCTCACTGGCCACCAGCCCGCTCAGACCTGGCTTTGGCCCTCATGTCTCCACTCAGATTCTCCTGCTGAGGTCACCAGTGCCCTTCACACTGGCAAAGCCAATGGGCTTTTTCTGTCCTTCCCTTGAGATCTATGCAACAGCGAATACCACTGATCTCTTTGTTTTTCCTTCCTCAGTGTCTGAGGCAATGCTCTCTCCTGCCTCTCCTCTTTTAGTCTCTTGGACTTTTGTTCCCCCATATTTCTGGCTTTCTGGCCTTTGCAACTCTACACCTGGCCACTGGCTAACTACAGCCATGGCCTTGACTTCAACCATGACTCCCAAACATGTATCTAAGGACAAGACAGCCCTCCTCGGTTCTGAGCCTACATAGCCAACCTCCTGCATCCCTTCTCTTCCATGCTCCCCAGTCCCATAAAGAACACATCGTCTCCTTTCTCTCCCCTTCTATGCTCTCTATTTCAAGGATAGGTACCACCAACCTTCCCAATCTCCCAAGCTGGAAACCTAGGAGTCACTCTAGATACTGCCTCTTCCCTCACGCCCCCACATCTAGTCTGTCACCAGATCCTTCTGACCCAACCTCTACAAAATCTCCCTAATCTACCTGGGGTACATACTGTGGACAGAGCTAGCCAACCTCCACTTCACCTTTCTTTTGGGGTACAGTACTTAGAAAGTAACAGGCACCTGCCTCTGAAAGCTGGATCTGAGACTACCTGGCGCAGCAGTCCAACATACACACTCCTCCCTCGAGTGGCCCAGCCTCCTTCCTGGGCAGCACCCAGCTCAGCTGTTTCCCAAGACAACAGCTCTGGAATGCTCTGTTGTCTCCGCTCCCTGCGGACCGGCAATGAGATCAGCAAGGCAAAACTGTGCTGGGGACACTGAGTTGTTTTCTGCCCTCTGATTTCTGCTTGAGCTAGGCTGGCTCAGGAAGCCCAGACCCCAGGCATATCTCCCGACAACAATGAGTATTTCATACTGTAGGGAACTTAGAATTTATGCTGGATCTCCAGGTACCATAGATAATATGATTTAAAAGTGCTGCTTCCAGGGCTGCCATGTGGTAGGACAATGCAAGGTTGAGTGCAACCTACAGAATGGGTGGATTTTTCTGAATGTTATCAAGGAAGTGTGGAAAATTCCAACGTGTGTCAGGGGGGTATTAAGGGAGACAGGTCCTGCTGGGCACACTCTGCACTCTTGGGACAGGAGAAGTACATAAAGATCTTGCTGATCCAGAGGCTGGGAATATCTACTCAGTACATTGATATTAGCTGGAAGGTCAGGACAGCCATAGGCCCTAGCTCAGGAGAAGTGTTACCATGGCAATTTATTGCCATTAAGAGACAAACTCTTGGAAGAAGTCTGCCTCTCAAATATGATAAAAGTAAAATGTGTCAAAGTTTTCCCTGAACCAATTTTGTTTGTTTTAGATTTCAGAATGGTAGGTAGGAGCATGAAGAAAAGTCTGTTGCATCTACATAGAATTTGAAAGGCAGGCAGCAGAAAGTAAAGCATATTGCTT